TTAGGTTGGAGGCCATGGCTATTAGGTTGGAGGCCATGGCTATTAGGTTGGACGCTATGGCTATTAGGATGGAGTAGAAGCATTTTTGAGCTTGATGGTGCAAGGGATGTCTGGTCCAAGCGATGTCGAAACGCCTAGCAGCTCGTCGTTCTCAGTGCGGCAAGCAGGCACGGCGAGGGCACGCGCCTAGCAGCGCACCACGCGAGCGCACCACCTGGTGTTTCACCCCCCCGCAAAAAGAAAAACGACGGCGATAGCGTGTGGTGCATCAAGAATTGTGTCATGGAGTGTTTGGGATGGAGAAGTCAGACGTGGAAGAATTGGTTGTTTCCATGTTATCACCAAATGCATCGAACGTTGGGTATAAACCGTGAGTGGTCAGCACTGGCCTCCATGTCACGAAGTAAATCCCACATCACGAGGACCACGTGAAAACAACAAAACCAGGAGAGGGGAGGCCAGGTGGTGGGCAGGTGGTGGCCGAAGAAATCATTGGTCGAAGAAGGATTGTCAAAGGGACGTTGTGGCTTTGAGGTACTTAGTACTTAGTACTATACAATCTTGCCATGTCTTGTCTTGCCTTCAAAAATGAAAAAAACACCAGATTGCCACACAATCGCAAGGATCGCAAAACCCAACCGCAAACTGATCAGCCAATCATAGCCAATCGGTTTGGTGTCCTTTCAACGAGTGTCCATCTTCACCAATCCCAAGATCCCCCATCTTCACCCCCCAAGTTTGTCCCGAAGCTCCTCGCCGCCACGTCGCAGACGGAGCGGGCCGCGCGGACGGCGCCGCCGCGCGGGCGGCGCGGAGTCGCAGGGATGGCACAAGAGCTCGGGATCAGGAGGCACAGGTGGCACAGGTCGTGAACTAGGTGAGGATCTCGAAGCCTTTCCAGGCGACCTCCTCCAACTTGCGGAGGCCTCGCGAAAAGCCGCGGACCGCGGACGGCCCTCGGTGGTCGGCTCATGGAAGGCCCGCGTGGTATGCCGGACGAGCCGGGAGGGAGGGACGGTGATTTGCAGGGAGAGAAACTCCAATTGTTGGTGTTTCCGAACCCAGAGCAGGGAGGATACACTCTCATCACAGGCCTTCTTCCTCTAGTCGTTCTGAAGCCAAAGTCTGGGTCAGTTTGATTGAAATCAAGTGCTCAAAGCTTTCAAAAAGCTTCAATCTCGTTTTTGAGCATTTCCAGCCAGAAACTCCTCCTCGCCCGAAAACGAATTCGTGAGTTTCGATGTCTAGTCCGTCCAGAGCTATCTGCAAACCCGGTTCAACTGGAAACTGACTCATCTGAGCATCTGTTTCTACTGACCCCCAAGTCGGAAATCCCTGGAAACTCAGGTTAGAGTAGTATGTTACAGAAACCAAACACTCAAGTGGGGTGACCTGCAGTTGTTCCGGGAAGAAAGTGTGCCAGTTTGCTGGCCACATACATCGTAGGTGGAGCCTCTTGATCAGCAGCGCCTACCCAACTACCGTGACAAGGCTGTTGCTGCTTGTACATCTCGACTACCGCCGGCCGCGACTAGATCCAGCCCCCCCAATGGATCAGCTTCCGTCCCATCCATTTTGTGGAAGGTCCAGCTGCAAACCCTAGGGATCCAAGTACCTTCTCAGAAGGTACGACTGGACCCTCCAAACCTACATAACTGTCTCCAGAAGGAACAACTGGATCCCCAGGCAAATGGAACATGTCGTGATTCGGTGCTGTCGACCAGACAGCTCCGGCTGCTCCGCCGATTTGCACGATCTTTTTCACGTCTGAACACGTGGAGGTCAACGTGTTGGCAGCAACTGCGGCCAGACTCCAAGAAAACAACCCCAGGCCATTGATCGACCAATTAGATCAAGGGGCCACAAGTCCAAGAATTTATAAAGCTGCTCAACCATCGGTTTGCAGTCTAGCCCTTCAGCTGAGCCCCTCCCCTTTGCGGGTGTAACCACCTCAGAGAGCTCGCCCGGCGCTCGCCCTTTGTCGTCGGACCGGGCCTCCCGGGCGGCCCAGGGGGCCTTTCTGATTGAGGCTGTAGGGCACTTCACCTGCATTTCGCAGGACCCTGCCACGCGCCGCGCTGCTACGCGAGGCGTTTCGCCATGCGAAACGCCATGCGAAACGCCTCCCCGGTGCCGCGTTGAGAGAAACATCTTGAGAGAAAAAAGGTTCGCAGTTCACTGGGGCCTAGCCTTCAAAGACGTTAAACATGTTATTGACATGGTTTTGTAGTGTAAAATCCTTAGCAAGACAATGGTTCAGACCATTAAAACAGCTGGTGAGCGTGGGAGGCTTGCGACCGACGCAACCCGCAGGCTTGTCTCGCGCGGTAAGCGTCAGACCTGTGCCCCGATCGCCGGAGAACCAAAGGAAGGTGCTGAGGCGCCAGGTCTGCAGGGCTGGTGCCAAGTAAGAGGACCTGAGAGCCATGGCAGGTTTTTGAGGTATTTCTGGTGATGGTGATGAAATGGTATGACATTCTGGGAAGGAAAAACGAGCTCCCCATCGAATTCTTGCATTTAGCTAAGATTGCTCGACTTTAGCAGTTCGCTGTGCTGTTTGGATCTTGAATTGACCAAGTAGGATGCATACTGTAGATGGTCATGATCAGCACGACTTTCAGAGCAACCCTCCAGCTCCAGTATGTTCCAATGACATCGTGGTGGTTCTCGACTTTTTCTAGTCTAACAACTGGTAGAACATCCATGAACCTTGCATGTCTGTGTCTAGCGTCCACGCAACATGCGCGGAGGCTTTTGGGGTGGCATATACCGGCCTATGTAGATCTTCCAACTGTGCAACAGACCTGCCTTGTCATAAAGTGGTTCATCCCATAAAACCATCCGATTTGGGGCAGAAGCCTCGTCGATCTCGTCGATCCCTCGCCTCCCAATCCACCGGAAAAAGGCAAATGCCGCGTCACCGCGAGAACTTGGGCGAGGTCTTCTCCCGCAAAAAGCGCTTCATCACGGGGTCGTCCAAGGGCAAGGGGGGATTCCTCGGTTGGGTCGGACGGTTTGGTGCCAGCGATCAAACCGTTGCTCGTCAAGGACCGAGGTGCGTGTGCACCGCAACGTCAGGGTGTTGCTTACACCCAAACCCAGACGCTCCATGTATGGAATATGCCGATCAGTTGGGGTGGTTTGGGGGGTCAATGTAGGCATATATGGCATACATTGTCTGGGAATTTGCAGGATCACTGCGAAAAGATGTGAAAATGCAACATCTCTGTCGTGGGTGGGGCTGAGTAGCAGGGTCCACACCCAAAATGGCCTCTGAACACAGGGACCAATTCGTCAGGTTCTCCATGTCTGCTGCGTTTGTTCTTCTTCGGGTTTGAGGGATCTGGTGCTTTCAGCGCGAGGGCCTCCGCTTCGTACGTGGCTTGGGCGCACGGATGGTTCAATGGAACATGCCGCTCCAACGTCCGTGCATTCGGGTACGTCGCCTGGCGTCCCGAAGCTGGAAATCCGTGCACAGTCTGCAGCTTGCGATCGATGTGAAGGTCCGGAGCTTTCGAAGGAATCCGGGCCCTCGAATATACATGCATGTATAGGTTCGGGTCCGGACCCCTGCGAAGGTGTCGGGTTCGATGTGGTGTCATGGACAGCCCAAGGATTGTTAGGGCTGAGAGAAAAGAGAAAGGTCATAAAAGGTCTTCATTCCATTCCATGGGTTACACTCCGACGATATAGAGTTCGCCTCCTGTTTCTAAAGGACAGTCGTCTTCCTTTCGGGGTCATGCCATCCACGTAACCATGTTTTCTGTGTTCGTCAGAGAGTAAACATGGAGTTGAACCGGTCAGCCCCGGTCTGCCCCGGTCTCCCGGAGCAACGCTGGCGCGCCCGGCGCAGCCGGCGCCACAAGCGCCACGCGAGTGGCGGGTTGGTGTTGGCGCGGACGATGGGGGAGTGGCCACACTCCGTGGCTGGGAAAACTCCACCGAACCGCGCAGGTCGCCATGGGACTGGATGAGGAAAAACACCGAAGCCTGCTTCGCGTGCGCGCGCCCGCTTCGCAACCGAACTGGACAGCCCAAGGCTCAGAACCGACACCTTCACGCGGTACCTGCGCGTTTGAAGCAAGCAGCAAGCAGGGGGAGGCAACACGGGAGCAGCAGCAAGGAGCTTCAGCAAATCGCGACTTGAGGTGTCTATAACCCAGACACTCCATGTATGCCATATATGCCTACATTGGGGTGGTTTGGGGGGTCAATGTAGGCATATATGGCATATATGGAGTGTCTGGGAAATAGCCTCTTAGAGGTTAAGAGGTGGCCAAAACTACCTGTTGGAAGGTCCTGGTATATATCTATAGCACCTTCCAATGAAATGGTGGACCTGGTGTTGTGTGAAATCCTTACAACTAAAACAATGATTGGTGGTGCGGGATTCAAACCACCAAAATATCAAAATCATGGTGGGCCAGCAAGTCTATGAGGTTCCAACATCCGGGAACAGTCCCGTGATCGATTGAACAACCACTTTCTCTTCAGCGAGACCTCTCCACTTCAACTCCCACGAAGCGCGTCCATCCAGAAAAGTCATTTGATCATTTGTTGGATGACTAGTATAAATGGTTTGGCTAGAGAGTTCCCACCAAGGATGTGCTGTTTCCCGGAGCTGAGAAAATAAAGACACAACATCTTCACCAGTTCGTTGGAGAGATTGACCCATCGGAACATCAACAAAAAGATCACGCGCCAGGTTGTGCCAGGAGACGAAGTCACGGAAGTCACGGATGTCCAACAGAGGTTGAAGGACCTTATAGACTTATAGACCTATCCCAGTTCGGTACCCCAGGTGACGGGTCCGAACGTTCAGGTCACTGGCTACCTCTCTTGGGTTAAGAACTCTTCTCGCCACGAACGATGGGAAGTCACGGCGTCCCCCAGGACTGGCCGGAGTCGGCGTCGGATTCTTCCGGTGCCCCCGACCAATGGGAACCCAACACCTCACCCCACGAGCTCGTACAATGTAGCACCTCAAGACCTATGGCACATGATGATGATCAAGACTTTCTGTAGACCAACACATTACAAAACCGCCTATATATTCTTTCTCAGAAGTCATGTATGTCATGTCTCGCTGGCCAACCACACCGCACCACCCACCCACCGACGTCTTCATGTTCGCGGATGCGTCGGCGAACGTCTCCGTTCGGCCGCGCGAACGTCGCCGTGAACGCCGAACGGGGCACCTGAAGTCCTGACGGAATCCCACCAGTGGAGGCAAATAGACCGTGAGCTGATGTTGGTAGTAGCCGCCTGGCGGAAGCCACGGTTCGGACGTCAAAGGGGGCACGGTGACACCCGGACAGATCCCGAGCTGTCGCGCTGGTACGGAAACAAAGCCGCCGAAGGGTTTGGTTCTTGTGACACAGGCATCCGAGTTCGGTTCACGTTGGGAAGAGAATCATCCCCATCCACACCCAGCTGTGAATTGATCATAAATCATGAACATTGATGTAACCTCCACTCGCTTCCCACCCCCTGACCCGGAAAAGCAGAGCCTGAAAGCCTGATCAAAGCAGTTGTTGGCTTGCTCAAAAGCTAATGATACTGATAATGTAGTCCTCAGATTAATAAAGACCCCTAGAATTATGTCTTTTTTTTTCCCTGCACTGATTAATAAAGGCCCCTAGAATAATGTCTTTTTTTTTT